CCGATGTCGCCTCTTCTGCGGTAACGCAGATGCCCTAGCAAAGGAGGTGGTTGAAGGGGAAACGCCGAGGGGAAGGTAAGGGTTAAATTGCAGCTTGTACAAGTGTCCCGGATAGGTTTTCCCAGGAAACCTTATTCTGTCTACCGGAGGCAGCTGAGGAGGTGTGGGGAAGGGGAGTATTTGCTGATAAAACTTGCAGTGGCGGCACAGCAGCGCTAGATGCGCAGGACGGAGACCTGAGGCTGGGCGGACTCTTGTTCTCGCATCTCCTGCTGCGCGGGCAGCTGCTGAAGTAGGCTTCTACGTATATGGTACGTGACTGGTACGATCACACGTATCACATAGAAATTAAACTTAAGTCATGCTTAATGTTTCATAATGGCAGTCCAGGGGGGGTAACGTGTGTGTGTGTGTGTGTGTGTGTATATACACACATATATATATATATATATGTATATATATATATGTTTATACAAGGGAGTTTGAATCTCTTCTCTCTTATTTCACTGAAAATCAGAGTTGACCTTAGGCAGAGTATGGAGGGGCAAAGTAGTATTCGGAGAGGAGAATCAGGCCCCGTCCTATGGAGCGTCCAATTGTGCGGATGTTCTGAGACAGTAAAATTAGTGGCTGGCTTGATATTAGGTGTATGGAGCTAAGTGTGAATTCAGCGATCCCGTGAGACACTAGTTGCCTGGATACCTTCACTCCTTCTGAGAAGCTTGTTTTTAAAATCCAGGATGGCTGATAAGTGGCCAGTGTAAACAGCCATGAACATGACCCACCAGCCCAGTCCATGGGCACAGTGGCAGGGGAGACGAGGCCAACCCTGAACAGTTATTTCATCGAGCTAGCTGATTGCCGTGACCACAACATGCTGTGACAGCTCTCCTGCAATCGGAAGACATAAATTAGACCTTTTGGAGAGTTACTGCAATAGGTAACAATAATCTCAGAGATGAGCAGCTGTGATTGTCGTGGGTCCCTCAGGACGGAGACAGGGTTTTTAGGTGGCTTGCTGTTTTGCCTTAATGCCTGTGACCCTTGCTGGTTGCTGTTTTCTGTATTGCAAGTTTTTCTTGGGGGTGGGGTGGGGCACTGGCTTTGTCTTTAATTTTACCTATTCTTTTAACAGGCTGTACGTGAGGTTCTTGTAACTGAAAAGTACATTGAAAAAACATTTTTCTTTCTTAAATTCGCTGCAGTGCTGATGGAAGTTGCCCTCAATACTTGAAAGTTCAGGAATTGTGCCTACTGTACCATTTAAGTCGGAGGGCGTCTGTTACTGATTTTAGTTGGAGCTGCAGTATGCGCTTCTATCTTAATTCCCAGAGGACCTCCATGGAGCTCTCTGAATTAGAGAATACAAGGTAAGTTAGCCTGCGCTGGGCTACCATGGCTAGGCTCTCCGGTGCCTGAGTTAATTTGATTAGACCTGCCTTGGTTATCTTCTCAGTACATAGCACTCTGCAGCAGGCAATTCCTGCATCGCCTGCTCTTCAGGACGTACTCGGATTGCCCAGAATCCACTGGGCCTGCTGGGTGGCTCTACACCTGCAGATGCAGGTCAGGTCTTAAATGGTGTATGCTGTCTGAATCTTGCCCTTAATGTTTCTGAGCAAAGGAGATGCTTTGTAAAGCAACAAACACCATGAGGCAGATGCCCAAAACTGCACATCTGCGTATTCAAAATAAGTTGTCTAAATTGGGCTTGTCACGTGTCATTCTCTTGTACAACTTCATCCAGTGTAACACAGAGTCAGACCAGCAATAAACAGTTCTTCTATTTGTAAACACGATGCATGCATTCATCGATACAGACTAAGGAGACATTACTGATTGTGCAATTTCTGTGCAGTATAACCGCAGTGAGCACAGTAACACGATGACTTGTCTAATTTATGGTAAGGCTGACACGCCTGTTCTGTATTATTGTGTGACCCAGCGATGTTTTGTCATCTCATGTGAACCCCAAAGAAGAACCAGTCAGTGATTTTTAAATCCAACTGTGCGTGGATAGTGCCAAACGCTTACTTCTGGGTATAGCACCGACACGAAAAATGCAGCTTTCTTCACACTGACTGACTTGAGCTCTCTTCTGGAACGGAGAGAGAAACAATAGTCAATACAGAAATCTATTTGGAATAGTTTCCTTGCTGAGAACTTCCACTTAGAGCAGTTCCCGAGTAAGAGAGACGCAAAGCCTCACGATGGACAGTAAGCTGGAACAACTTGGCCGAGGAATGTCTTCCTAAACCCCGCATCTTTCCATCAGCTACTTTACGCTCTAGAAAGTGAAATCGGCAATTCACTTTATAGTGAAGGAACAGCCATAACGTGGTTATGAATATGGCCCCTTCCCTCTAAACGCTCACCGCGTTTGACTAAGAACCTCGTCCTATGAACCACGCTGCAGAAGATTTAACGCCGGTTTAAAGGCCCGGCGTCCCTTAGCATTCACAGGTACATAGCCGAATAGTCTGCTCCTATCCTGCTCTTCAACTGGTACGGTTGGAATGACCTATCGGCCCCTGCAACTGAGTTTTCTTCAAAAAAAAAAAAAAAAAAAGTCTTATGAACCACCACAGAGGAAGTAAACAGTCTGACTCGTCTCCTAGGTGTCTCAGCAATTTAACCTGGAAACTGGCATATAGCTAATATCTCAAGATTGTTGTGAACAGGTCACAGGGAAGGGTGTTCACCTTCTATTAAGTAAGTAAGTTCGTCATCCTTCCTGCATTACATAAGGGGTTACCAAGTTATGCCCAGTCTAGGGCACTGTTTGGAGCTGGATTCCATAGGACAGAATCACTGGGAGGGAGCAGGACAGGTTTACGTAGCAAAGGCAGAAAAGTCAGGTCGGTGAGCCTAAGACCTAAGAGAGTCTGAAAATTTCTCATGCCCCTAACTCTGCACCCTGGCAGGCTTGAATAAACTGAGACTTTCCAGGACACTGAACAGCCAGCAGTCTGAATGCCGTTTGTATTTTCTGGAACTCAGTAGTCATACTAAAATGAGCTACATATTTTAAAATCAAGGCATTTTAAGTAGCTAAACCGACATAAATTAAGAAATGAAAGGGCAGAAAGAGCTGAGATAGCTCATTGATTTTTAAGAGATCTGGACGTTTTCTTAGTTCAGAACTTTGGTAAACAAAGACGGATCTGAAATCTCCCAGGCTATAATCCAGACACTGCCTTCATAGCTATGATTTTATGATTTATTGCAATGTACACCTCTGAGCTGTAAACGAGCCTTCCGTCCTCACTGTGAAGAGCTATGGTTGATTTCAAGAATGTAATGGACTGAGACATGTTATTGTTCTTCCTATCACAGGGATTTTCTGTGCGTGTGGTCTTTTGATTGTTCAGTTTAACAATTCAGGGCACATATTTTGCTCTTTATGTAAGAAACAGCAATTTAAGTTATATACCCAGGAGACTCGAGTCTTTTGTCTTGAGGTTAAGCATTCAGTCTGCAGGAGTAACGCAGACATACAAAGCAAGAGTAATAAGATGACTCTTAACCTCCTGTCATACATGCACACACATTTAGCCTTTCCCACTCCTCGCATCGTCCTGTAAGAGCAAACTTCAGTTTTCAGACAGTTTGGGAACGCATCTATGCAACAACGCAGACAATATTAACTTTCTAGTATCTTAATGGCAAATAGTAACCTACGTTTCTGTGACTATCAACAAACTAGCCCAAACTTGAAGGAAAGCGTGCGTTAGCCACATCTGCGTATAAAAGTTCTATTTCTAAAGTTGTTTCTTCCAGTTCGTAGTATATCACATCTTAAACTGAAAGCTCTTCAGAACAGAAATTGTATCTTCTGTTTCTAGGACACTTAGCACAGGAGGACTCTGAACGCGCTTGGGGTCTTTGGCTGCAGCTATCATACTAGTATTTCTCACTGTGTTTCTGTGTGTGCAGGTGCACACTGATGAGCAAGCAAAACAATAAAGCTGAGAATAAGTGGTCTCCCCACCTTTTCAAATGGGCAAAGGCAGGGAAGCAGCTCTCAGCAGCAGTCTTTTCTCCAGACGCTCTT